AACGAAATCAATCGATCCGATCAAAAAATTGTACTCAATTATAGCTACAATTTTATTGGTTATTGATTTTGCCGATCCAAGCAATCCGATCTAGAAATGAACAGGGCTAATAAATTGAAAATTTAGATGAAAATTCTTACCATATGAAAATCAAAAATTACGAATTTTATTATTACTTCAAATTAAATCTAAAGATTTTTTTTTATTATTAGGAAAAAAAATCTGTCATATATGATTATATTGTTAATGAGACCAATCATGAATAATATTTTGCTTCTCGTTTACTTGATAATAATCATTATCACTCTCATCATCATTGCTTATATTATCATCACTATTTTCTTCATTACTATCATTAATATTGTCATTATGAATAACATCTCTTTTAAGGTTTTCTTGATTTAATTGATCAAAGTTAAAAATTAAAGTATCTTCAGATCCATTCATATCGTTCGAAATTTCACAACACTTAAAAGAATGTCGAATCATATTAATATCTATAGCCTCTCAACTCTCCTTTATCCAGGTAGCTACAAGAGAATAAGAAGGTCTTTTGATTTTTCCCGATAGAGTGTATTCTTTAATTGCCTTACTCATCCAATGGTTATATTGATTTCTAACCTTTGTTTTGAAAGGTTTATTCAAGGAAACATCAAGTAGTTGTAATTTGGAAGTTAGTCTGCCCGGAATGATTGCTATGTTAGTTTTTTTTCACGAAGCTGTTTCTTTACAACTTCAGTTTTGTGAGCGGAAAATGAATCTAATACCAAGAGAGACCAAATATTTTCGATCCACCATATCATTTCTTCTTCGTTCATCCATCCTTCTGAATTTGCACGAATTACTACACCTTCAGGAAATTCTTCACAGGGAATCTTTTTGAGTTTGAAAATAATAACTGGAGATAACTTTGTCCCATCAGCCAAATAAGCTAACACAATGGTAAAATTTGATCTTTCATGACCAGTTGACAAAATTGATACAGTTTTAGAACTGGATTGTTCCACAGTTGTATTACTTGAAAGATTGAATGATATTGGCATTTTGTTCATATTCCCGATAAGGAATAATGGATATTGGTTCTCTTTTTTCAAATATATGACATAAGATAAAAATTCTGATTGTTTCTCTACATAATCCTCAGGAAGACGTTGTGCAATTGTGGTTTTCCTTCTATTTGATAAATTATGTCGAGACATGAAACTGTCAACGCATTTTCGTAAAAATTTGGCATTTTTTACATCAGGATATTCCAATTGGTATGATATTTTTTTTGCCAATAAACGTGTTTTTATTTGAATCATATATTGAGTTACTGTTTTTAATTGACCTCTAGCTTCAGTGAACCATTCTATAAGCTCATCTTCAATGTGTAGGAATTTTGGACGCGCACCTGTATTTAACTTTTAAACATAAAAGGCTACGCTAATTAGCTTATCCTTATTATTAATCCAATTACGAAGCTATTTTGGTTCTATTCCAAACTTATCAGCAGTTAACTTTTTACTATAACCTTTTTCATGATAAGTTATTATCATTAACTTTTCCAATGCAGACCATTGCCTTTTCTTTTTTTCTGAAACTCTTGCACATTTAGCCTTAAAATTTCCACATACCATTTTTTTTAAGTTTATTATTAGGCAAAAAAAAATGAAACAAAAAATGAAGAAACAAAACCCCAAAGATATGAAGAAAAATATAAAAAAATATGTAGTAACGCTACACATTATAAAACATCTATATCGCAGCTTTAAAATTATCATATTGGTTAATAAATGCGATTTTCTATAATAAAAGGCAAAAAATCTTGCCAAACCAAACTAAGTTGCTACTCTATTAATTACTTATTAAGATAGTATAAATACAACTTTTGTAAAGAAAAGGATAAAATTCTTAAAAAAAATGAATGTTAAATCATGTAAAATAAATGGAGGAGAAATTTTTTTTAGACAAAAAAAAGTAAAAAGGATAATTGCGAAACACTGAATTTATGCTTTATTTATTATATTTAAAATACGTTGTGTATTGTTACTATGTAAGTTGTCAGTATAGACCATATAAGTTTAGTTTGTATCTTATACCTCTTAATATACGCTCTGTATGTTGTGTCAGTTATCAGTATAGACCATATAAGATTAGTTTGTACTTTGTACTCCTTTACAATATATACCCCTGATATAATACCCCCTATTAAAATACCCTACCGCTTATTATACCCGGCTCTTCACAAAATACCCACGGGTATGAATTAATTTTTAAATTAAAAAAATTGATTTATACCTGAGGTATCTTTGCAGTACTCTACGATATTAGTTATCTAAAAAAAGAATTTAAAAAAATATTTTTTGTGAAATGGCTATCATCATAAATAGAAATAATCATATGATTACATATGGAAATGTTTCTAGTAAAATCAAGTCATGAGACATAATAAATTATATGATCTGTAATGTGATTTTACTGGAAACACTCCCATATGGTATAATTTATAATTCTGACCAAAATTATGATAATTTAAAAAAATCATAAAATAGTTTTTTCTTTATATGATGCATTTAGCTTATAACAAATCACATTTTATTATATGACTTTAAAAAATAATAGATCAATTTTTTTAAATAAATTCTGTTAAAAGATAGATTAGATCATTATTTTTCATATAACAGAGCCCTTTTCTGATTAAGTAATCATTAACATTAAATATATAAAATCAAAATCATGAATTTTTATTAATTATATACTAAATTTGGTTATTATAAAGCAACACAAAATTATAAAAAATTATATAATATAGGCTGAAATTTCTTAAATTGCATTAAATCTTAAAAAGTAATTTATTCTATTTTTTTTGTTATACTGATTAATATTAAAAGTAAAAAATCTTTTAGTTAGAGAGATTATTGAAAATAGAAAATATAAAAAACTGGAAAAAACAGCTCTGAAAGTATTGAATTAAATTTTTTTAGAAACAATCAGATATTATGCTTATAAAACTTAGAGAGGTTTATGAATACATATAAAAAAAATTATCAGGTATAGAAGTATTATATACTATAAAAAATATAGATCACATCAGTAAATTTTGATAATATAATAAACATATCCCTTAGATTGTTTAGCAGACAAATTTGTCTGTGAAATTATTAATTTCTTTATAAAATATTAAATATTAATTTTAGTAATATTATTACTATATAAAAAATATAGTTTAATATATTTT